AGAGAACACAGAGTCGCTTCCATTAAATATGAATAATGTTGCAAATAAAATCTCACCACATTTTGCATGAACTTCGTTTAATTTCTTGATTGAAACATCGTGAATAACGATCTCGTACTACATCAACTTGAATAATAATACGATTTGCTTTTACTGAAATCTTAAAGAAAAAGCCCTAACGGCTGCTATGATATATAATGAACAATTTTTATATTTGATAATTTTATTCGACATATAAGCCATACCTATCATAATAACCGAAATGCATGCAAAAAATGGAATAAGGTGATTCATACAATTTATTGACAACTTACATTGTTAAAAGTTTTCTTGTTGGATATGTTCTCAACAGCTCAAAAAACCACCAAATCGATTTCCAATGATACCCCAAAGACATTTCACTATTCGCGCGATAAATGAATAATGATTACTTTTCTTTACAGCGCTGGAAACAAACGCTGAAATTTCTTGAAGTTTTATTTTAAACACATAACCAAAAGAGAATGAACATGTGTACAAAGCGGCGCCAAACGAGCTCCAGGCGGAGGGGCAGACGCATACATACGTAACAACTAAAAAAAAAATTTATAATAGTGAAATATATAAAATATAAAAAATAAAAGTTCAAGTTTATTGTGTTTTCTTAATAAATAGGTGTAGGTGTGGCCAAATCAAGGATCGCCTCTTAAAGCTAATTATTACTAAATGTTTAATGGATTCTATACCCGCGACTATGGATGAATATCAAAATTCGACACTAGTGCAGTATGTTTTAAGTATTGAGCAAGCATTGGTCAATAATTTCTTTATTCATCCCGAAGTACATTGTACACTAACTAATTTTACAAAACTAAATTAAAATCATTGGAAACGAGCAAAACAGAACCTTGCATAAATATCAAAAAAACACTTCGATTTCCAACGCTGCGAAGTTAATAAAAAAAACTGACAATCAATTAGATCCATTGATACAAACGCTTAAAAATAACACTTCGATTTCCAACGCTGCGAAGTTAATAAAAAAAAGTGACAATCAATCAGATCCATTGATGCAAACGCTTAAAAATGGCAATAATGGCATTGTTAAAGCGCAAACAAACATTACCATAAAAAATTGGATGCATCTAACAAAGGATATAAAATGATGAGAATGATGGGCTGGTCTGATGGAGCTTTAGGTTCGCAAAAACAAGGTCGAGAAGACCCTATGAGGCAAGTTTTTACATATTTGTTTAAATTTTAAGTAAAACTTTTATTTATTATCACAGCTATTGGTGGTTTAGATTTCTCATAGCTATCTTTTGAAAAATGATCCAATCGGGTTGGGACATGAGGTTAGCAATTTAGAAAAAAGCTCTTGCGGTATACCGTTTTTCCATTGTATGCGTATTCTTAAACCCAAATCGACCTATATAATTTCAATAAGCCTTATACGCATTTTAGCCAAACCTTCAATTTCAGACGGTGATTGCGAAAGTTTCTACTTTTAATGGATGAATTTCTTAACAGTAAAGATTTGGGTGATTTGGTAACTAATAAATCGTTTCAGTATTTACTTAAATTAATTTATGAATACTTACACGGCACTTATAAAAAATCAAAACAATAATTAAAGCAAAATGAAAATTGTTAATTAATGAATTCATAGAATGAGCTTTTTGTGCTAATCATCAAACTTAATCTCTATTGGATCAAGTCTTTTTTGTCGTTAATCGTAAATAAATATTTTGCATATATTTCAAGTTATCAAATGTCTGTATGTTCTTATCATAATTTTTTCTGTCTATGTACTTGCCTCTACGTACGGAGTAGGCGAACTTTCAGATGAACTCATCAAAAAGGAAAATATGTCATTAGGCATGCTTTATCCCTCTATTACAATTTCAATTAATAAATGTTTATACTTTTTCAGACGAAATCATTAAAATGGACAAAAAATCAAAGCATCGAACGACCATCCAAACCAAAAATACGTCGTCTAGACGTAAAAAATCTAAATCTAAATCTAAACGACGACGAAATGGAATGAAGAATAAGAATGATCAATGCTGAAGAAGAAGGATAACCATGAAAAAGTGATTAACGTATTGATATTTTTAATTGAAATAATTCTTATTTAACATTCCTTCTTTAGTGGCAACATTCGCGTAAGAATTTGCACTAATTCCAATAAAGCATCAGAAGCAAAATTTCTGCAAACAGTTGCTGACTTGTGGAAGGAAACGAACAACATCAACAACGAACGAACTTGTACGTTTCTTGGGTCGTCATTGTAATATCATGCAGAGCTTCGCAAAAAAACTCTTGGAATGTCCGCAAAATTCATCAAATGTAAATTAAAAAGAAAAGTGACAAGATTTTATAATGTTTTTTTTTGTTTTTAGTAAAGGAAACCGAAACTGTATCGCGTAGTAATTTTTTATTTAAAAGAATAAAATAGTAATATGTAATAATGTTTATATATATAAAACTACAGTTGGGTGTACAGGCCGAAATATACGGTAAATTTCGGATTATTTTAAGAGAACGTTGATTGGTAAAAAAACCTGCTGACAATTTGATGATGCGCAATAAATAGCGTACTCTTCCATGTTTCTGAAATCATTAAGCATTTGTATGTTATATACGGGAACACTCGACAATTTTGCAAACTTAAATTGAACATTTTCTTACCCTACACCGCTTCTGTTACAGAGTATATAAAGTTTGCTCGGATGGTTGTAATATCAAGAAGAGCTTGGCACTGACTGACGTATTTTTGCCCGATCAGTCAATTTTATTGAAATTGGTCGGATCACTTTCGCAAACGCTCCCCATATAAGTCCATAGCCAGATACTATCTACTATTGCGTACGTGACTTTCCGTTCATAAAGCGATTAATATGTGCTCCCTTTACATTTATTTAAAAATTGTAAATAATTCCCCCGTTAAAAATTTGAAACTCTTATCAAACTATGATTAAACCAAATATATAATTTGACAAGATCTTCAAATTTTTGTTTTAGTTGCACATAGCTCGAATTTTTAATATAATTTTCGTTAAACTTCCTTTTTTATATTTTCCTTCGGACTGCTCTTTTGACATCTCGCTATCTATGCACAAGAAAGAAGACACTCCAAATTACGTCTTCGGGAATCCAATCGCTGAAAAAAAGCCAAGTATTGGAGGGTACTGGTTGGAATCTTTTATACAAAGACGGCTCAAAATTTTCTGGTCTGCCTCCTGCTTGTGCCGTGGTAGATGCTACAGGACAAGTTCTTCTCAATCACATATTTCACGAAAGTACTTCAACTTTCACAACCGAATCCAGAGCTATCCTTCACGCTGCGAACCTTGCTCAAAAAAACAAACTCAAAACCGTCATTGTTATTGACAGTTTGTCTGTATTACAAACTATTCGGAATCCTTCGACTTCGAGATGGAGCACCATCAACAAATTAAGGAATATAATTACTACAACCGACGGAAAAATTAAAATGTTTTGGGTACCAAGTCACATCGGTTTATTGGGAAATGAGCAGGCTGATCGAGCGGCAAAGTATGCTGCTTCTGCTCCTCTAATTATAGATGATGTCATGGAAAAGTTGGGTCTTCAAAAATACATTGGAAGAAAAGTTAAAGAGAAAATTGCAGAAGGAAATTTACAATATTATCATCAACACTACTTTTCCATTAACCCTCAATTAACTCCACCTTTATATCCAACAAATGTTGAGAAAACCAAGATCCAAACATATTCGAGAATTCGCCTTGGTCATACAATTGCAACTCACCAATGGATCTTGAAGAAGTCTTCCTCCCCAATCTGCAGTTGTGGACAAACTCTAACTATAAAGCACATTCTCTGCGACTGCCTTAAGTTTTCCTTGGCTAGAAGTATTGCATTTGGAACGATTAACCCTTTGGACATTCTAAAATCAGCTTCAGAATCGAATATCAATTCTATATATTACTTTATTAATACCACTAAGCTCATTATCTAATGTACATTTATTTAAATTAGAGCCGATAGACTGTGTTGCTAGTGCCCACTGTCTTTTTTTTTTAGTCTAAGAATTTATTTCATTAGTCTAAAATTATAATAATAATTATATTTTCTTTCGATATTTTTAAATTTAAAAAATTTGTTTTCGCAAAGTATTGAGAATAGAGAGAAAACAGAGTTGCTTTCAATAAATTGCAACGTTTCGATTCTTTTATGAGTGAGAATAAAGTAAATAAAGTATTACAATGTCAGAGAAATCAAGTTGCCATTTCTGTTAAAGCAAGAAACAAGCCATACGTGGTTTCAGACTCGCTCATTTAAATTACTCTCCGATGACTGTGAACCGACGTGGATTAGGATGAGTTATTTTAAATTAGCTTACAACTGTGAAAGCTGTGAAAGGAACGGCAATTTGGCAGAGTTTATCTTCAATTTAAACTGAAACTGATCAACATACAAAAAAAAAAAAACTGTATCTTTTTACGGTAAATATTTAACAAAATATGAACTATACTTTCCAAGCATGTTTATATATTTTTCCGGACATAATAAACAACAAAAAATATGCTTTACATAAACGTCAAGATGGTTTTAGACTTATTTCTTGTCCCTCGCAATACAGGTGCCATTTGGTTGGGTGTCGGTTTACAACAATAAGACAATCGAACGATTGATGAAAATCGTGGTGCAACTAAATTGTTGCGTATAAATTGATAAAAACCGATTGCGATTTCGCTCAGGCTACAAAAAACTATTGCAAGGGCCTCCCTATTCTGTTTATATCGCTTCACTAATATAGCCTACCATGGTGGAGAAGGCCTATGTACGTTTATGTATTATTTATTAGTGATTTTATTTCTATTCAAGGTCTTGAAATAAGTGACAAAGACCTCTTTCTGCGTACGTAAAAAAAAAGTGAAATAACTTCGAATTATGTTACTTTAGAGCGTAAGTAATAGATTAATCGAAAAGGGATGTTACTTTTGAAATCATTGGCGCAAGTAAAACCGAAAATGGAGTTGGCTTTTTCTCAAACTGGTTTTCTGCATCAAGTTTCAATAGTCATCCCAATTTAATATCATACTAAAGTGCCCCAGTTTTAAATTTTATTCCTAAGACCCTTTACCCCAGTTTGAAGTGGAGGAAACCGATAAAGAAGTTACAGTACAGCAATTGATTATTAAGCAAATAAGTGTAGGCGCTGAAGCCAACAGTGGCGAGTTTAATGTTGTACAGGTACGTTGCAAACGAAAATTGAAATGAACCCACGCTGTGTTTAAAACGTGTTTCACATTCCAGGCTGAAAAAGAAACTTTAAAAATACCAGTAGCTGTTTTAAAAGCTGGCGAAACTCGTGTATTGCGTCCAAATTTGGAATTTCCAAGTGATTCAGTTACGTTTAATTTGACACAAGGAAACGGCCCCGTATACATATGCTGGAAAAATGTTGTCAGTGAAGTTATGAACGAAGAGTGGAATGACGATGATGATATTGAGGATGATGATAATGATGATGAACCGCCACCGTCACAACAGAACGGTAAAAACATCAAAAAGAAATAATTCCAGATAGATATGTAACAACAGCTCAGAAAACGAAATCACTCTTTGCAAAAATACTTTTTAAGATCTTTCGAATGTGTGCTAAACTCTGTTTACACAAGTTTACAATGTTAAAGAATTATACAGTAAATTGCCAAATTCCCATAAATAAATTTTCCGCTGCATTCGTTTTATTATAAGATAACTTTTATTGAGAAAAAATCATTTAAAATGCATTTGATATAAATGAATTATGGCGATGAAGTTTAATATCTTCATGTAGTTTAATATCTTTTGTCGCGGCACCCTAAAAATTTCGAATTGATTAGAGAGGACAAACAGCAAGTGGGGATCAATTTATCGTATATGTATTACGCGACGTCGATCACCAGGATGAATTAAATCGAGCTTCTCACTCCAGTCACCTTTCTTCATTTCATAGCGAAGCTTCTTACGATCACAATAGGAAATGATACAGCTTGCTGGGATCTAAATAACTGAAGTAATTATTACAATAACCACTGAAAAGGCATAAAATCAATTAGATGTGTTGCTGATCTTTAGGTAATTATTTATAAACTTACTAACAATGTTGTCTTTAAAAAAACGTAAAACTCTATTTATGTTAATTTCTTCGATGATATCCCAGCGTTCCACTACGTCTTGTATCGTTTTCTCACACACTCCCTTTTTTAAAAAGATGTGTAAAGCTAAAAATTATTATCGGAAAATATAATAGGCGTCAATACTTTGTTGCAAAATCCCTGTATGCAAAGTGTGCCATCGGGCAAAACATCTGGAGGCTCCACCAGAAAACAAGTTTCATTGATACTCATGAGGCAGCATCTTTAATTGAATTCCAATTATTGATATTAAATTAATTTAATGAAGGGGTTTTACTCAGGTTGGTATAAAACTTCATTCTAAAATTGATTCGCTTGTGTTGTGTTGATCCTTTTTTGCATATGTTCAGCTTATTGATAATCGCAAGAAAATGTTTTTAAATTTTTCAATCACTCTTCAAATATGTCCGTGGACACTAAACTTTTTACTCATTTTGGTAAGGGGTAGATAAACTCCAAATGTATAATAGCACTCCGCAAAGCAATTGCTTGAGCCCCATCCTTTTCAATTTATGTACAGCTAAGTTGCATGACCTTCAAGACGACAAAACCAATATTTGTTAATGTACTCATAATTTTTAATTTGGTCTAAGATTACACGACCTATACGGACATTACTGTTTCTACAAACATGCAGAGGCTTCGAAACGCCTTCAGCATTACTTGTGGTTACGTTATATATTTTTAAAGAGCTGATAAATTTTTATGTGCGCATTGCTGTTGTTTCTGTTTCTATAGAGCAGCGGATTAAAGACAATATAACAAAGAAAATTGTAAAATAAAAAAATCTCAGCAAGTGAGCTTATACTGAACTGAATTCAAACATCGAAAAATTTATTTTTAGTAGACTATTAAAAATTTGTAACGAACAAAAATGTTGAGCTCTTTCACAGGTATTATAGATTAAGAAAATATCAAGTGTTCTTCCGACACAATTGGTATTTAAAATCCTTTAAATTCCTCTACCAAGTCCACATACGTATGATAACTGAAGTTATTTTATGTAAATCCCATCATTTAATTTAATTAATTGTATTTTATTAGTCATCATTAGTTTGGTAATAAATGTCAGTTTGACAAAGGACTTTAAAGAATACTTTCATATATCGTAAGTTGCCCTAGTTTCAGGTGCGTCATTCAACTTCGCCGATTTGTTTGTTCATATCACTGAGACTAGATCTAATATTTGTCAAGTTTATACCACATTAACAGTGCAGAGTAGAATATATGCTCTTTTATATCAATGTTTATTAATCAAAATATTTCGCATTCTTTCCACAACTTTTCCTATCTTTCTGGCAACGTAATGGTGCGGAATCGAATGAGCGATATTGGTTTAGCAGCGATACAATCATCGACTCGTTTTTTTACGTCTTCCGTTTGCCAGCCAAGCCATACTGTACCGATCTGAATAAGTATTATTCAGAAGGCGCTGTGTCTGGTGAATAAGCTGGTTGCGGCAGAATCACCCATACGACCTGCGAGAGTGTACCTAGACAACTATTGCAAAGTCAATGTGGACGGCTCTCTTGGGTTAACCCATGAACTTTTTTGCGTGTGATTGTCGTAGTAGGCGCACATTTCATCGTCAATCACAATAAGCCACAGAAAACTATAATTTTTTTATGCCTGGCAAGCAATGGAACCGCAATTTTGATGCGTTTCGAAAAGGTATTTTCAATTAACTCTTATGATAGCCATTTTTCGTCCTTTATGTTCTTTTCTGTCGCGTGTAAACGTATAGAAACAATTGATTCATCAACAGCTAAGCTATTCGAAGATTCTGCAAAAGTTTGAACTGGGTTTTCATCCAATAAATCTTACAATTCATTGTCTTCGAACTGTTTTGGCTCTTCAGGCCGTTCTTTACCATTGACATGAAAATCATCGCTGTCGAACAGCTGAAACCAAAACCGACAATTGGAATAAGCAAATCGTCTATATTATAAGCACCTACTATTAACTCTTTGCTATATTAATTCATTAGAACATAAGAGAAGCACGATATAATCATTCCGACATGCAAAGAAATATATAAAAAACATGTTTAAATATCGCTCTTATATTTCCACTAACGACAAATATATTTAGATTTTAGTTACCACTTTCTCAACAAATCATACACTATAGACATAAACATGTTAATTTTGCGTTCATTAATTAATTCACACACGTAACATTATAATTATACAAAAAAGGAATCAAAATACTTGTTTATGAATTGTGAACAACCGCAAATATGTTACATTATTATCCCATAAAAAATTATTGTAATTATTTAATAAAATCTATTGAAAACGAAGAAATTGAGTTGATTACAATCTAACAAGTCAACTTGCAGCAAGAGGAAGAACGGTAAAATATATGACCAGCACGAGGAAGACTGGTAAAATATATGACCAGCAAGAAAATATTTTCATGTTCTTGAAACGAAGGACTTCTTCTAAATGAACGTTCTCCTTCAATGGCCAGAGCAAAATTTACCTTTAATTGTCTTCTTACTGCTGCTAGTTCACAGAAGGGATTTCCACGTAAATTTAGCATACGAATAAATTTCATACTCTGAAGTTGTTGAGTGAAACAGATTTGCTCAATGCGATTATCGTTTAAGAAGACATATTGCAATTTACTAATTTTCATTTATATATGGCATTCATCATTTCGCTTCTGCAACAAACAATTTGGATGAATTTTTTCTTGGTTCAAAAAACCAATAAGAAAAAAGAAAAACATAAAATTGACATTTTTCAAATGTATTTTTCAAATCGAGACAATTTTTGAAGGAAGCTCTTTAAAACTTTAAAGTATTGTTACACTATATTGTTAATTTATTTTTTGCAATGAATTGCCTAAATTTTTTTATAAAAGCCACCTAAGGAGATTAATATAATCAAATTATTCTTTCATCATCATATTATCCTTTTGTAACACTCAACCAGAACAAGGCAACAGATATCCCTTAAAGCAAATGTAGTTTTGAATCGATTTAGTCATATCCGTTCAAGATTGAAGTGCGGCACTCTATCATCTGTTTGCAGCCTAAAAGACCTTTTTTGGCGGATAAAATTCCAAAATCTTTCTGAATTTTTCCACATTTTTATTTAAGATTTGGAGCAAACATCTGTCTGTCAGAGATGCATAAATGACAAAATATAACTCATTTTAAATAAGACTTCGAGGTGATGAGTATCCAAGTTTCGTGAAGTTTCTCCACTTGCTCCTATTAATTGCCTAATTTATACAATCATAAGCATTGTATGCAATTGCCATCGATTTAAAAGCAAAGAAGACATTGCAGTGAATGCATTTAATAGCAAAGTCATTCAAACGAAACTAATATAATTCTTAAATAGTTTGAAAATGTTGATCAGTAACGGCAATGACCAGCTGCGAATCGTTTTGAACAGTTTTCTGTCAAAATTTGAAAATCCAAGTAAAATCGAATTCAAATTTCAAACAAAATAAATAGGAATAATGTTTATTGTTTTACGTTGTATTATTATTATTATTATTTTAATTTTAGACTAATGAATTGAATTCTTAGACTAAAAAAAGACATTGAGCACTAACAACACAGGCTATCGGCTCTGTTTTACGTTGTAAAAAATACATTAACTATTATGAGAAAATGAAAAAATAGACATGGACTGAATATTGAGGACAAAAGTAATTTAATTATCTTGATTATTAGCTGTCCCCTCGGCTAGTTTTGATGCGTCAGACAACGTTCCCGGCAAACCACAACTGAAGTAGGCGTCATTATCGACGCAGTATTTTATAATAGTGCGCCAACGAGAATCTAAAAGGAGTATGTTGGGGTTGCCGTACATTACAAGAAGGTAACGAGGTCGAGATATCGCGACATTACTCAGTTTCTCGTTTTGAATGAAACCTAACGCATGACGCACATCACTAGGTATATGCTCCTTATCTGATCTCACTGTTGAAATTATTATTATATCGCGTTCCTAAAAAAAACCAAGCGAAAGTAACACTAGTGTTAATTCCAACATTAGTGTAATTTTACGAAGGTTATACCTCTCCTTGGAATTTCTCCACAGAACCAATTTTAGGCATTGCTACGTCGGCATCAATAAAAAATTTGCACAAATGTTCAACTTGTTTTATGTACGGACTTATAGAGCCAATGGATTCTGGTTTAATGTGCTTACGATACAATTTAACTGTCATTAGAAAGACCTTCAAAAATGAAATAAATGTTATGAAATACTAAATAGAAGGGATGGTGCTTTTAAACTAAATACAACTTACGTGCTTCGCTTCGTAAGGATTATACCTCGACGGTGATTCGTTTTCCTGCATATTTTGACTACGTGTGATTACATGTGTTTTGGCTCGATTTGGTGATTGCGACAGTATATCGTGAAGTTGCTTCAG